GGGAATACATAGTCGGCACCATATGTTGCTGGCGAGTACACAACGAAACTGAAAATAAGAATGAACTGAAAGAAAGTAATATTAATATTAATGCCTATTTAAAATCTGGGGCGCTTCCTAATTACACTTGACAGTTTTTCTTTGTTTTTATGGAGGTGATAACTGCGCAAATGTTTTGACAGACGACAGACGAGTATTGTGAAAACAGGAAAATCTACATTGACAAGAGAGATTCGCTAATTCAACATTTCGCTATTACGCTATCTGACCACAATTCGCTAAAATTGCATGTCGCTTTTTCAACATGTTTTACAATATAAAGCATATCAACATGGTAGTCATTCCACGGAAGGTAGTATCTACTAGCTTCGATTAATTATTTATAGCATAGACTTGTATCTTCTGTTTGAAAAAAAGGAAAATCCAACTTTCTGTGGAAAAGGTGGGTTATAATGTCCAGTACACTTAATAGTATAACTGGTAGACTTTACATCTGAAATCACTTTTATATATGTTTGATAAGTTGTGCTGTACCGATGTTACCATTTGTCGCAGTATTACGGGTTAACTAGGATATATCGGTTCTAACTATGATGACAAACCCATTAATAATGGTACAGACTTTGACAGGTCATTGCTTACTTTTTAGGCAGTTTTGTTTCCTTGTAGAGAAAACTGCCTCTTTTTATTTCCCTTCTCTGTTTTCATAGTAAAAAAAACCTGTTACTATCGCAATTATTAGTATCATTAATAGAATAGAATGTACTTGGCTATTCAGTTTCATAAAATGTAATTATTCTGATTATATTACAACTACAAAGTTGGCTTTGTGTAGCTACAGGCTGGCGGCGATGTTTGGATTATGTTACAGGAGAAGATTAACATTGGTGTTGACATTGTTCTCATTCTCGCTAAGTTGTAATTAGGTAGATATTATGAATAATGTAGCATCGGAATACCCTCAGTTTTATGTCTCTGTTTTCCAAGGTTTGCGTTTATAGTGACTTACCATCAGCATAAGTGGCGAAATGACGAGCCAACACGCTTTCCAGTACACATTTGGGCTAAATCCCAGCATTGTGTGAATATCGTCACAGAAGCTATTAATTCCTGTGAATGGGAAAAATAGTTTTCTTAAGACCTTCTTATTCTGATAGCAAAATTATATAGACATCGTGCACCAAGTATATCAACTACATCTGTATATGTATATAGAAATCTGTATAGAAATATATAGAAAGATGTAACACACTACACCACAGACAGAAGTTACGTACTATATAGAGATATCTATTCTCAACTTCGAATATTCAAAATAGATGCGACACAGTCATACTGTGATTGTTATACTTCACGTACCTGGCACGTTTAATAACCAATTTTACCCTTATATGGTCATTGTCAATGAAAAAATACAAAATATAAATAAAACGTGTTGCTGTATGTGTTGACAACTGAAAACATTAACACTTCACGTAATGATATACACACCACACCACCCGGTGTGTGCTACAAAATACAAAAGCCATCGGAGGATACCCGCCTGTGGATTCTCTTACACAACGAATAGATAGTAATCTAGGAAACCCTTATAATTTGTTATTACTCACCGTATACATAAGACACGACAAGACATTCCAGTGTACTAATTATCATCACAGAGAAACTTGCCGAGTAAGTATCCAGCAAAGCAACCCAGTAAACTCCGGACTGTGAAAGAGACAATATTAATCGTTACAATATGTCTTATAACCCGATTTGTCGCCCAACCCGGTTTCAGTGCTTGTCAATATCAATCAACATCATTACTTATACAGGGAATTTGATTACAACATTGCACGGACATAACTCGATTCGATACGACTGCATTAGAAATACAATTACACTCTGTACACTGTAATATGCAAATATAAACATGACATTTATAATCATAGTGTTGACAATACTTACATTGAGCACACAAGGCAGTCCCATCAAATACCAGAATATGCAAATTATAGCAATGATAAGTGATTTTCTTTTCGTTACAACATATGACAATTCATCAAATATGGCGGTAATCACAGTCTCTAGCATAGCGAACTAATAAAAACAACCAAACCACTAAACATTAGCAGAGAAAATATTCAAGAAATTGCCAAAACATGTATCGGCGAAAGATGTTCAAGTTATTATTAGTCTCACATAATTCGATTGAAACGCGATATGAGTATAGGCTCTGTCCAATTTGATTTCTTTTTCGTTTTCATATATATATATTTTTTGGTAACCGGGCTTTGATAAGGCGATCGAGGCAAGATATACAGTAAAAGACAAATGGCAAATAAACCACGAGTATCTGACTTATTTTCGCAGTAAGAATACACTCTTGTTCCCAATCCACACTTGTGTTAGAATTTGATAAAGCCGAAGAAATCGTAACTTGGTTTATGGAAGAGTTGGTCGACAGCTGTACGAGTAAAACCTAAGAGTCAACGTCCCAGTTAGGTTACCCGTGAGTATTCACAGCTCGGCTTTACTAGTTATGATTGTTTCTGATAACGGCAAATTATATGTACAGTTTGTCTCTCCTGTAACCAAAATATATCAAACGAAATGTGACGTTAAAATAAAAAAAAAAGACATACCTGGCTGTCCAATCCTAGGGTGAATACCATGATAAAAAACAATATGGCCCATAGTGGTGAAATGGGAAGCCTCGCAATGGCTTCTGGGTAAGCAACGAAAACCAACCCTTGCCCTAAAATAATGAGAGCAGCTTTTCAGATACTTTTTTGAATAAAACTCACTGTTAGCTTTTTGAAGACTGTACAATAATAATATTATGCCGCGGACGTTTGAACTTCTATCTTTTTGTGCAGCACAGTAACAAAATGATTATAATATTTGCTGAACTGAAAAATATGACTATTTATGACTTTATTAGATTTTACACCTAATCTAGTTATGAAATATTATATAGCACATATCTCCGTTTATTCAATAGCAATCACAAAGTAGTTCAACTTAAAATAGTTTCAACAAAACCAGTTTTGACATTGCTTCTCAGAACAGCATCAGAAGAAATATGAAAAATATAAATGAATATAAAACTTATTTACATGAATGAATGAATGAATGAATGAATGAATGAATGAATGAATGAATGAATGAATGAATGAATGAATGAATGAATGAATGAATGAATGGAGAAGAATCACTCACCACTCTCTACTACGTCCTTGATCTCTACTCCCATATCGTAGGCCATGAATCCAAGAACAGAAAACACAACGAAACCAGCAAATATACTTGTACCACAGTTGACAAGCGCCACGATAATGGCGTCACTGCATGATATAATATCAGAATGCTAGTCAGCTTTTGTGTATGTAAAAATTTAAATTAAAACACGACTTGTGAGTTTTCTCCATGAGCAGAAAAACACAGAGTTGTACTTACGTGTGGCAGTTGTTGTGGAACTTATTATAGCTTGCCATTGTATGAAGACTACCAAATGCAATTCCTAATGAATAAAATATCTGAGAGGCGGCATCTTTCCAAACCTGGAACGAGGATAAAGTAAATGTTGCGTAAGTTGTAATTTCAATCACCTCCTGTTAATGTTGCGTTGGGAGGATGACTGCATAAGTTGAATATGCAGAAATAGTCTGTTAAACCAGTCACTAAGTGGAAAGCAAAACATATTTACTGGGTTGACAATAACGCACGTTTTATATAGATTTAATTTTAAAATAATAAATATTACGTCATCGTACTCAGAATAGTCAATCACATACACGTATCTGAGAATTGATAGTAATTCGACATATTTATTGATAAAAAATTTCAAAGTCACTGTGATTCTAGCATGGTATGACGCCATGCACTATTATTATAATGGCGATAGGTTGAAATAATATACTCGCCTTTGGGGATTTCAATGTCTCCCACTGGGGTGTTATGTAGAATAGAATTCCCTTCTTTGAACCTGGTAAGGTAACACCTCGTATTAGGAGTATCAGCAATATAATGTATGGGAACGTGGCTGTGACGTATACAACCTACAGAAAATGAGCAAACATGATGGTGACAATATATAACAATACAAACCCAATATATCACATTAATATCACCACAAACAGCTAACAAATGAAAGAGGATAATATCGTCTACAGCATTAGTGAGTAAACCTGTGTACGTGATTTGTTAAAATTTCTACACGATTTCCTAAATTTATGTGTCAGGATTTGCTATTTTTTTCCAGATGACCATATAAAATTACCTTTCCAAGGGATTCGGTAAACTGATTATTCCAAGTGATTTGCGCAAGTCACCCCATTCAACGTGATACGAGCCGGGATACGAGGAATTTAGCAATTGGTTAAATTTACCTTTCCAGATGACTTGATACCTTTGCTGATGCACAGGTATACGATAACCCACGCAAAGAGAAGACACATCGCATTCTGCCAGACAATTGTGCCTGAGTCGTCGATGCCATCAGTACGTCGGAGAATGAATCGACTATTAAAACAACAGAAACAGTGAGACAATCAGTTTGCATTCGTGTCAAATTCAGTTTACAATTAATTGTTTTAACATTAGTCAAATGTATGTCGACTTTTTCTGTTCACTGTCATCTGATTTTTGATAAAAGGGGTAAAATAATATAAATAAAATATTTTAGCAGCTTTCCTCAATAAAAAAACTAACTAAAAGTATTGTTCTATACTTTTTAGACATCAAAAAGTACGTTGTCGGACACTATACATATTGTTTACCATATGCGACTGAGCAGCATTTTAAGATATTCCTTTCCATGGGAAAGTATGGAAAAGTGCCTTAGAACAGGCAAAACGTGTTATTTTCACTCCATTTTGTACATCGATTTTTCCGAGCCGTTTTCGTCCTGGAGCTGTAACCTGCGCATGCGAAAGACGGCCATAGCGTGTCATGAGCCTTTGCGTTTTGCGTGTTTTGTTATCATCGCTTGGGGGCTCAATTCTCGCGCGTGCGCGGTGACGACTGCCTCCGCTTTAAAACAAGTTCCGATTAAAACACAATATCGTGTGTGTTTCTTACTCCCAGAACTGCTGTGAAGGCCTATCCAAGGTGATATTGGTGCCATTAACCACTACCATTCCGCTTGTCGTATTGGTAATATTGCTGGTGTCAAAACAAAAGTCGTTATTCCACCAGTTATCGCATCCAACCCACGGCAATGACGGGATGTCTGTGAACGAGGCTATGAAGTAGTATACAGTCCAGGCAATTATAACGTTATAATAGATACACACCATACCGGTCAGAATGACCATTCCATATCCAAGACCTAGATAGAATACCAAACAAACAAACAAACACGAGTGTTAGTGATATTATATAAACTTTATTAAAAGAAATCTTTCGGTTTTTTAGATCTCTCGCGGGCACTAGATTTACCATACTGTACCTGTTGAATTAGTACAAGTTGTTCAATTCGTGTGTACATTAACTTCCTTATGTATGTTATGCCATATGTATACTGTAAAATACTTTATTTTAGCTGGAATTAATCTTCGCTGAATAGACTTTTGGGGTGTTATGTATGGAATTTATTTTCACTGATTTGTGACGAGTTGAATGTAAAATATAGGGAAAAGGGTATATTCGCTGGATTTTATTTTCACTGAATCATTCCTTCAGCGAAAATAAGAAAAAATATTTCTAAGCGAAAATAAAATATTCCACAGTAGATTAAAATTCCAGTCATGTACCTTTGAATATGGGGCACAATTTCCATACACCTGTGCAGCCCAAACTTGCAAACTGTCCGAGTGATAATTCAAAGAAAAAGAGTGGTAATCCAGCAAGTAGTAAACATATAATGTACGGTATGAGAAACGCCCCTGTAAAGAGAAAATGGGTTTGGCTTAGTAACAAGTTCAATATCGTAGTTATGTGGTTCCGCAAATAAAAGTTATAATACGTAATGCAATGTTTAGATGTCACAGTGTACGAGTAATATAGAGTAGCACTTCGCAAAAGTTGGTTTTAGGGAATTTTGGCGATATGCAGAAATCTATGAATCAGTATTTGGGATATATTATGGATAAGCTGCTTTACTGTGTACCGATAAAGGGATAACGTGTATATGGTTTCGTGTACGATGACTCCACTTCACGGCATACATGGTTGTTTACAGTACTAACCATTACCGAATCTCCTGTAGACCATATACACTGGATGACGGCTTCCATACTTCATAAACACCATGTAATGCATTTACATTGTCACATGTGCATGTGGTCAAAGTATGGTCATTTCCCCCACGTACACAACACCAGGAATGTACTGACGAAATGTATCGCGTTTCTAGAAGTTTAGGTATAATTCTAGACAATATTTTAGATAGGTATTACATTCGGTGACAGATTGTCAGTGTGAAAAATATCTCGTATACGTTACGCATTTTCCCGCGTATATCATATCGCATACTTGTTATATACCTAACTTGTCTAAGACATTAGGTATATATATATATAAAGACCTAACATGTATGTATATCGGTATATGGGTTGTGTTGCTATAGGGATAAACATAGTCACGCCTTTGAGAATGCGATGACAAAGAGTGCTGCTAAACAGTGGTTTACTTACACGGAATATAATAATTGTTAGGCCCTATAATATACTACGTTTGTCCATGTAATGCTGGTGTGTTCATAGTCTTTTGCCCCAAAACACAATTTTATTGAATTAAAATCTTTTCTCGCATACAACGTGCCAGATTTGTTTTGGTTTTTATGAACGATTCCAGTAGAAAATCTCGTATATTTTAACTTATCAATAAATACAACTAAAAATTTGCCTTGCCATAATATTTACTCCTTAATTACGCGTTTATTTATTTATTGGTTTTTTTTGGGGGGGGGGACTCGTTCATGCAAAATGTGTGTACGGTCTGGTAAAACTGACAGAGCATTAATAATACCAGTGTCGTTGTTATCGTTACCGTTGAGAATAGTTAGCACACTCAACTGTCTGTATTGCATTAGACAAGGTCAATGAGTATTTTATTATCACAAATAACGACTAAACGTCAATACTTAAAGTTATTGTTGTTTGCAGATTGTGACGTCAAATCAATAATAATTTAGTAATGAGTTTCAATCATTCTTTCGTCACGGTAAGTCAGAACCTACGTTTCGGATTACGCAAGTTAATGTGCTACTTTGGTAGATGTGTGATGTAATCAGAGGGTCTTAAAATATTCAATGTTGCTGTACTCAAAACAACCATTTTGAAGGCGTTTATATCGCAACATCATAGTTGTCAGTGCTAGATAATTTAAAACGGGGGGAGTCGTCACCTGCGCATGCGTTAGATGGCCATAGCGTGTCATTGTTTACAAACAAGCGTTTACCCCTGAGACTGTGTTTTAGCGTATGTTGTTATCGTCGCTCGTGACTCAATTTCCGCTTTAATATTTCTTTTAATATTGACATCATATTTGTTTTTAGAAGTTACGAAAGTCTCAAATAATATTGCGATGACGGAATTATTTATCTGATTATAATTACACACTTACGCACAATAATATTCATACTGTAAAAACTTTCAGATCAGAAATACTTCAAATTATTGATGAATAATTTCCACACCAAACAGACTACCTTTACCAATATATATATATAATTCAAACGGCTACCGTTGCAGTAACTAAATAAATAATATCAACAAGCTTGGAAATTGTTTTTTTATCTGTATTAAGGTCATGCAATTCATTATGTATTGACCAATAAAAACTGTGTTATGTTATATATGATAATGTAAATGCCTTACCTCCTCCATTTTCGTAACATAGATAAGGAAATCTCCACACGTTCCCAAGTCCGACTGCAAATCCAATGCATGACAGTATGAAATCCATCTTACGTGTCCAATTTCCCCGCTTTTTGTTCTCGTCACCATCGTCAGTTGTGACGCTATTTGACATATCGTCTAACTCAATGGCAGTAACTAAAGCACCCTACAAATGTGAAACAAATTTTCATTATTCCTAGTAATATTTTGAAAAATGTATTTTGACATCGTGAATCTTGCCGTATAATAAGAATGACTGTAAACATTCACGACATCTTGCGAAATAATTATGTTCATTTTCTTAATGTATTATTAATATTAATTTGTTCAACGTACCAAATTTGCATAACAATGTCTTACTCTCTTTCTAACGTATCACATTTGAATATTAATTTCTTCAGTTTCTAACGTATCACCTTTGAATTTTAATTTTCTAGCGTATACATTTGCATATCAATTTGTTACTTTTTTCTAACGTATCGCTTTTGAATATCAATTTGTGCTCCTTTGAACGTCTCAACTGTGTATGTTAATTAGTTACTCCTTTTTCCAACGTAGGAAAGTTGCATATTAATTTGTGATAATGTGATACGGTATTTTTTCTTACGTATAAAATATGCATAACTTATGCATACCATGTCAAGTAGCAAATTAAGCTTTTAATACGATAACTAGAATAATAAGCTTGTTACGATCAGTTAATTTTAGTGGAAATGATCACACGTGATTTACGTCATGCGGTGTCCTCGGAGAGCCATTAACAGGTTTACTAGCACGAGTTCTAGTTTAGGGCACACCCTGTGTTGACATACCGAGAGGCATACCAAGGACTCGGTGAATAGAATGAAAACAAAGGAGGCGTCTTAATGTATTCAGAGATAAAAATGGCCGATTCGCATTAAGTGTCGTATATACACCGATGTCTTTCTGTGAAATGAACACTATGAATGCGATTTTTGAAGAATAGACGGTGGTTCACTTTACTGGTCATATTAAACCATCGATACGTGATATACCAGTCCCATATACACAGTATATTGTTTTGTTGTGAGTGTTGTGGGTTTTTTTGTTTTTGTTTTTGTTTAGGGTTTTTTCTATGTATTCCATGTTATGTAACAATTTAATTCCTTGAGTGAAATTATTCGTGTTTCAATAAACTAATAAGCATTGAACGAGAGTGTTTCCATTTTACGATCAGCGGCGCCCTTATTTAATGACTTGGGCTGAATCACGTACAGCCCATCGGACACAATCGTTAAGGGGTATCTCGCAATATGACTGGTTTCGGACGCTGACCTTCGTGGGTTTCATTGTTGCCTTCGCTCTTCCTTGATGATCCGAGTGCACCCTGACTAGCTAATAAAGAATGCATTGTTGTTTGGTTTCATTGTAACTTTTACTGCGTTTTGTTGTGCACCCTTTTACCAGCTGAACTGGTGTCACCACACAATCAGAGTCCATTTTTAATTGGTTCGATTTGAAATGAGACGTTAATCAATTCAAGATATAAATATCATGGTCTCAGCATACAACGGCTGACCCACCTCTTTCCAGGATGTCCCACTGAACTAAAATCGAACAGGTGGGGCCAAACATTTACAGCGTCAACGGAAGATTTCACTCTCGATTCCCCTTTCTTGTAAAACTTACCTCACTGTTTCCGCGATTCTTGGCAACCATATTGAATTGTTATGCACCAGCATACGCGGCGCGAGAATGTCCGACTGCAGTGACGAATACACTTAGATACTCCGTCCAGTACTGAGTCAGTGATCAGCGGTAGGGCGTTTTACTCTCGTGACGTCGTTAGGATCGGTAACATTCCAACACGGTGGCGCTGCATTATGTGTACTCAGTCATCGAAAGTAATTGACACACACATACATTGAACTTACTTTTCATTGACCCGTGAATGGTGAAGAATAATTTCGCCAGACGGGACAATCTCAGTTTACCAATCATTTACAATTATATTATATTGAGGGACCGTCTCATTTGTTAAACATTTGCTAGTGTATGAGCATTTGTATGGAACCACTGTGACCGTTTCTAATTCGGAAAACGCCATGTTCACTGTTCTTCCCCGTTAGTCGTTCGTGGTAACGAAAAGGGTGGGGTTTGTTGGAACGTTTGGTATCGGGGAAGTAATATTGGGCATATGGGATTTTGATACTGACTCACGTACACTATATAAAGAACACAGTGTATTTTCGTTTTTGCGAATTTAGTGAATAATCAAATGCCTAATGGAACATTTCCTGAGTATATCAAATTAGAGTTGTGGGTCAGTCAGAAGACTCACGTGAGGGATGTTGTTTGTTCGGTGTTTCTTTTCTTCTATCTCTGATCGTACACAACATTTTATTGTTCTTCACAGCTTTTTATTATGCAGCAAGCGTGACGATTGGTCAACATCATTGTGACGTATGCCTAGATAAATTCGATTATTTTTAGGTTGTTTTGAGACCGACATTGTGACCATGTCTAGATAAATTAGATTAACTTTTGGTTGTTTTCAAAACGGTGACACCACCTCAATTTCTCACGAATTGGTATTACCCTATGACCATCTGATTTTCACAGATTTGTTAGTACGTGCATTTGTAAGGACCATCTCAATTTCTCACGATTTGTTATTATATTGGTGTTTGTGATGAACCGCCTCCTTTTGTAACACCTTTGCTGATATATGGACACTATTGAGGGACCATCTTAATGAGATTTTCCAAAATGCAGTATATCACGAAACAGACGCAGTATTCACAATTATACGATATTATATCTCTATCAGGCCCAAAAAATGTTTGTTGCCCTCAGCGACCGACCGAAAAATATGAAATATTGGGTCGCATTTTTTTCCATATACCTCGGCTATTTACGACACCTTTAGTTTTCACGAGTTTTAAAAAAAAATCCGACCGACCGACCCAATTTTTCAATTTTCCGACTTGAGGGCCACATAAGTTGTTGTTTTTCTTGGCCTCACGAAACAGACACAGTATTTACTACTATGCGATATTATAACTCTATCACGAAACAGACGCAGTATTTACTACTATGCGATAATTATATCTCTATCACAAAACAGACGCAGTATTTACTACTATGCGATATTATATCTCTATCACAAAACAGACGCAATATTTACTACTATGCGATATTATATCTCTATCACAAAACAGACGCAGTATTTACTACTATGCGATATTATATCTCTATCACAAAACAGACGCAGTATTTACTACTATGCGATATTATATCTCTATCACAAAACAGACGCAGTATTTACTACTATGCGATATTATACCTCTATCACGAAACAGACGCAGTATTTACTACTATGCGATATTATACCTCTATCACGAAACAGACACAGTATTTACTACTATGCGATATTATATCTTTATCTCGAAACAGACGCAGTATTTACTACTATGCGATATTATATCTATACCACGAAACTGACGCAGTATTTACTACTATGCGATATTATATCTATACCACGAAACCGACGCAGTATTTACTACTATGCGATATTATATCTATACCACGAAACAGACGCAGTATTTACTACTATGCGATATTATATCTTTATCACGAAACAGACGCAGTATTTACTACTATGCGATATTATATCTATACCATAGACTAGACCAAGTACATATATATATATATATATATATATATATATATATTTACGACTTCGCAATATATTGGCTATATCGCTATCTTGGACCAAACTAAGAGTATTGGTATACGACACTTTGAACTAAATCAGTGCGTGGGTATCCATTGCCATGTGATATATCTGAACAAATAGTATTTATTTGTAAATAAAAACGACACCGCACCAGCAATTATTATAACATCACCAAGGGTGGCATTCAGCTACCACCGGTTTCTTAAGTCAGACTATATTTTAGTTTAACCTATTACCCATGACATACCAACCAATTAAAATACACTTATAATATAATTGTAATCATTACTTTGTTAAACATTTTAATGCTCACAGCAAAGATTTTTCTTTCAACTTCTTTCTTTCAAGTTGTGTTTTACATTTGAATAAACGTTCACTGTCTAATTATGTGGATGAATTGATTTTCCTAATTATTTCCCTGGAGCATAAATTCCTCGTGTTCGTTCGCTCTAACCGAGAGGTGGGTACATACTTCCAATCTAGACCTTTACCAAATACCTTCTTACAATGTAATTATTAGAAATCGAGATAACTCCATGGTGAGATAGCACTCTATCTTCACAATTTTCTGTCTTTCCACGACCAACTATGGCAATAGTTTGCACTGTGAATCAACTCTTGTTGAAACAACGATATACAAAAACTCGTTTTAGGAGTTATTTACAGAAAACATTTCACAGTCCGCCAACCAGTGGTGTCCGCTGTAATCTTCTAGGTGACCTAAATATCGACACCACTCAATACCTGCGGCTTTTACGTAGTTTCTACCAAATTATTACACGCCGACTGAAATCACAGATGGTTCAAATTAAGTGCAATAATACATCACCTGCTCACGAATACTACTAGCCAGAATTTGCGACTATTCAATTTTCTCCTTAATTAAGAATTTATTGATTTAAAACACGTTTTTAAAAGAATGGGACTACAATACAATACAATACACAAATTTAATTATTTAAATTACTAAGAAAATTAAACCTACAATGTTAACAAAACCAAATAAAACAATAGAAAAAGAAACTATTTACAGAAATGAAAAATAATACTTTTTATATATACTCCTATATTGGCATACAAGGAAACATTTGTGCCTAGTTTCATCATTAACAATGTCCTCATCGAAGAAACTGATCCGCCAAGACTAGTATCAAAGCACACTTATACACGTTTCTTTTGCCCTCTTATATTTGCATTTGTCTGTATGCTCACGTTATACGCGGGGTATCCAGCTTTGAGAGAAAAAAACGCACGATTAGGGGGTAGATTTTAGGCTTGGGATATAAATTGCAGTGTTCATATATTGATCACGTGCTCCTCGAGAAACTTGTGAAAAGATCAAAAACTCGTTGCTGGCTTCTCAATAGTAGAATGCAGAGCAAAACAATGGCGACACGCTACATCTAATTATACATTCATCGTCTTGTTCGGTTAGAGTTCACGTGACTGTAATTTAGGGTACAACTTTTCAACAATAGTACGTAAAAATGGCAGTTATTTTACATTCAACAAAGTTGGGTAACCAAGTTTTAATCAAGCACCACTACCCCGGATGTAATTCACCTTCTCCATAAATCGCGCCATCCAGTGTCAAAGCGCATTTATGACTGAATAGTAGACACGTATGCAGTTCAAATGAAGATTCGGTGTTTTTTTTTTGGATAGATGTTTATGCATTTTAGATGACAAAAGACTACCCAACCAAACATTCGATATGAATTGTATTGCCTTCACCGTTTACGTCATGTTGACGTCACAGAAGCGTACCATCACTAGAGAGCGCAATTTTTAGAAATTGTGTTTCACAGAAGCCCACGTTGTACACGTTTTGCTGTCAACATGATTGCGTCAAGGCGTTCACCGACAAAATTGAAAGACACATTAAAGACATTTGTTGTTAGAAATACAAAGTAAATAGTTTATTTGCTGTAAATGTTTCATTCTTGCTACACATTCCGCCTTTCACAACGCGAATATACGACTGAGTAAAATGCAATAAAAGACAATTGATACATCCAAACACAGTATATATAAATATTAATCAACATTAAAAAAAAAACCTCTGCGATAATAGGTTTCCATTACGTTCATATTATAACTAAATGATTATTAATGTTCACGAAACTAACATAACGTATTAAAGACAATAGGTTAAAAATTGTATGTGTGAAAGGACAATAAATAAAAATCACGCATGAATTTGTTATATCTGATTTTCCCGCGTTCAAATTAATACGGGCACAGTTTCTTGGCGAAGTTAACGTGTATTGAATTCTTCGACCTAATTAATGCAAACGATATGCATCTATGTTATAACAAGTATTAAAATGCATTACGAGTCATCATAATTCATTTAAACAATTAGAGCGACAATTTCTATGATTCGTGCATCTTAAAACATACTTGAAAAAAAAACATTGACATGTTAGTAAATATGTACAAATTGCAATAAAATTGTTGATACAACTCGTCAGTTCTCGTCACCAATGTCGCACTGTATCCCCACCTCCGCTACATCTACAGCTAAGTCGGTGTTTCGTCCGTCAAATCCTCGATTTAACACAGCACCATGGCCATCGACCTCAGGTAATAATGGATACCCTGCTTCGTATCGGAAACGATTGAGAGCCGGTCCCCAGTCCCATTCTGGTCGAATTGAGTTCAAGAATCGCTGTAAATGAATATCACGTGTTAAAACAGCAGTGCTGGACTGTAATCAAAACACACCTACCTAGTAGAATGCTGACAAGTTTATTTTGTGAAAGTGGTACCAATTATAATACAGAGTGGTGCTAATCTTACACGCCTCCGTTCACTTCCCGTAGTGCAAATAATGGAATGTTTCATCAGTGACAAAGGGCGAGTAACCGAAGGGTAACTTACTTGATCAATCGTTATTATTCTACTTAAATCGTCAGGGCGTTAAATATCGTAAATTCCAAAGCATAGCACAATAATAAGAAGTGAAACAAAAAGTTAACCCACATATAAAGCATTCTACAGATATTTTGATGAAGGAAGATGGATTGTCAAAACGTGTCATGGTCATTCCTATCACCGAGGTTGCACTCATTGTAAAAGGTTCATAAATAAATGTGAATCGTCATTAATAACGTAAGCATTGCATTTTCTGTCTTCCAAATTAATTTTTGGTTTTTGCCAACGCCCAAGTTCAATTTCTAAATTGTCGTTTTAGGCCAAATTTACTGAACATTTTACGAAATTTAAAACACAAAATAACATTTAAATTAACTCCCGAATATTTTCTTGAATACACCATAAGTCTAAAGTTTACGAGATTAACCATTTTACCACTGATTTTCTTATTCTTTGGGATACACGAGAACTATTAATCAATAAACATAGTAAATTTAACTTTAGTTATATATGTGATGATACGTACCTTTCCAAAACTGCCTTTCTGCTTGAAAATCAAATAATAGGGAATATACAAGACAATAGCAGCTAGCGACGTACATGCGATAAACCAACCCAAAACATCTGCAGTTCTAGGGTAAATATAACCACCAAGATGCGCAGGTACGTAGTCCAAAGCGTAGAAAATCAAAACTCCCTAGAAGTGGGGTAGAACAAAAATATAATATAGTGAAATAGTATGCATAACTGTAACACGCAGTAAATATTCAGTGTCGATATCGTAATTTTATTGTTTTGATTCGAGTTGATTATTGGCTGGGCAAAGTGACGAAATATTGCGAAGTAGTACTTACAATGAGAACCAGTGGTGCAATGACCAATGGAATCAAGATAACGACCAACAACATAATCCAATAACATTTGCCACGTGGTCCCAACATCGATTTCAAGTCTTTATAGTATCTTCGAAGGCCTGTTAAAAAATGAAGTTTTCATGAACATTAGACGTTTGCATTCATCAATTGACTTACCAGTTACAGATGAGGACAAACAAACAAATATTCAAGTCCCCAGTGGACACAGCTGTGATCGAAATGATACACCCCCCCCCCCACAATTATTCATTATTCGCAGTTGTGGGTTGTATCACAGTCCCTGTGGTTGTCATGATAAAGTAAATCTGAATGTTGTGTGTGTTGCTTATAAAAACGCTTTTCGCGTTATATTTTATGTCAGTCGCAAATGAAACTCAGATTTCAAATGGTGTACAGACATTTTTAGGTGTTCTGTCTAGTCTAGAGCTAGTTTTACACAAGATTGACTGCAAGTGGGCAATGTCTACTTAGGGCAGCTATGTCTATTGGCATGTTGAGACAACAACTAATGAAAAATGTCTGATATTTTACGAAAACCATATTTTTAATATTTTAAATTTTTAATTGTTCGTTGCCATGAGCTGGTCTCGAAATAAAACTTATTATGTAGACGTCATACAACATCGACTGAATACTGTGTGAGCTTTGGAATATTCATAACAATTGATCGATAATGATGATATCGTGTACTAAATCAAGTGATACAAAATGTATATATGTATTCTATATAAGGGATTGCCTTTACGCACGGATGTTTACGCTCAATAAATGTAGGTACAATAATTTATTGCCCGTTTTCTCTTCTGAACCTAAGGTTTATTGTGTTGTGAACACAGGCGTTGTGTTCGGGGATCAGGGAACCTAGTCTCGCTTGACTGATGTCACTTACACGTAGAGATACCAGATTCGACCGAAATGAATACACATTAGTTCATTACAGATAGTCCAGTTAAATTCACACAAGCAGTCAGTCGAGGTAACCCCTCGCTGTACCGTTCTCTCGTTCTCCCCTTTACAAAGGTAACAAACTCTCTATATGAAAAGTAAAAACACTAGGGCCTGGCGGAGTAAACGTGCGATCAGCCAGTCGTTGACACAGTAACGTGATTACCAGAGATGTGTCTCACGGTTAAAGCCTTGCAAAGTTGCCACTGCTAAATACAATAAGTAAACAATCTATTTATCAAATTCCTGTTTTATATGTTTATAATCTCCACCCTAAACATGCAAGTTGTTGATTCTAAACAGTAGTCTAACGAATATGCGAACGTGAAGTCGTTATAACAATTGTTTCAACCGTCAAACAATGCATACATTTGTCCAAGTCTTGCCTCAATATAGAAATTACACCGATCTACTAAATAAGAAAACATTGATCAGATAAATTAATAGGAGGAATACCACTTGTTGTCCTGTCTCTATTTTAACAGTCCGCTAATATTTGATAGACAGTTTTCGTTCACCATTTATTAGGAAAGTAATCTTTTTTTGATCCAAACAGTGTCCGTTTACTGTGTTATTTGTTCTCGACAATGCCAGTTTATACTAGGAAAGAACAGTTTTTTCAGAACAAGGTTGTTCTCAAATGATAAAGTGGAGACATAGTTTAGGTCTATGATGGAGAGTACAAGTTTTCTCTCAATATTTAAAAATGATATATATTTTGAGCTGTAAATTAGGTTAAAACCAGCGATTCTCAGATAGACGACGTGTGTGTGTGTGCATGGCCACGCGAGCTAAGCAGGTGGTTACAAGCCTTTTACTAGAATCTCGACCTCGTCCTCGTAACCATTCTTTAAATATCAATAAACAGATAAATGGTACCGTTTAAACTTCGAACTCGTTATCATAAAAGTTATACAACCTATAAAACCGGTAAAGAGGGTTACAACGCAACAACCACTCTTCAGGCGGGCATTTTAAAAGCTTCATATGTCAAGCTAACAAATGAAAGTTAACACAGTACATAGATAGAATCAAGGTGTGTGTGAGATGAGTTTGCGATTTTATGTCCCGCCTGTTATACCAGCACTGTCTGGATTCCTGATGTAATGGGACATGTATCACGAGATTCGAGTAACCCGTTGGCATCACGTGCTCAACGGTGAATTCATTATATCTGATAAAGTATTTGTCTGAAATACTGCCTCTTCCATACAAAGTTGCAATAGTGCATGTCAACCAGTCTGTCTGAGGGACGGTGCAGGTCAGCCAGTCAGTGTGAGGGGCGGTGCAGGTCAGCCAGTCAGTCTGAGGGGCGGTGCAGGTCAGCCAGTCAGTCTGAGGGGCGGTGCAGGTCAGCCAGTCAGTCTGAGGGGCGGTGCAGGTCAGCCAGTCAGTCTGAGGGGCGGTGCAGGTCTGCCAGTCAGTCTGAGGGGCGGTGCAGATCAGCCAGTCAGTGTGAGGGGCGGTGCAGGTCAGCCAGTCAGTCTGAGGGGCGGTGCAGGTCAGCCAGTCAGTCTGAGGGGCGGTGCAGGTCAGCCAGTCAG